GGTCTGGGGCAGGAGGGTAACAATTTAAAGTCAGTTTCAGAAATTTAGTGAGGCCTTGCAGCAATTTAGCAAGACCCTGTCTCAAAATAAAATATAAAAAGGGCTGGGGATGTGGGTAGTTTTTAAGTGTCCCTAGCTTTGATCCCTACAAAGAAGAAGAAGAAGAGGAGGAGGAGGAAGGGAGAGAGAGGGGAAGGGGGAGAGGGAGGGAGAGGGTGACTATTAAAAAAACAACTTTTGCTCACCTAAAATAGACGTGTTCTGCAACCCAGTTGCCATCAGCTGGAGGCTGATGCAGAGCAACAGGTCTCCTGTGCAACAATCTCTTCTCTAAGAGCTCATCCCTCTTGGCTTGGCCAGCTGGCTCAAAGCGGGGTGACTTGCTAGTTACTGAGTCCCAGTGATGATTCGACAGACCAGTGCCTGGCAGCTGGCAACAGGGAGGCCCTGTTGTGTAGGTGGCAACCTACACAGGCCTGGGTGGGAGCACAGGTTGCGGGTGGGAGCACGGGATGCTGATGGGAACCAGATGAAGAGAGTGAGCTGGTGTGGTCTCCAGGGTTCATGGTAGTAACAGAGCTGACATACAAAACAACAATATATACCCTTCTCATTTTGTTAAAGTGACTACATTGCTTAAAATCTGAGATGTTAGGAAAACTGGATAGCCATGTGGAAAAAGATGTAATTAGATGCATTAGATGGAATAAATCACAAATGGACCTGAGGTTTAAATGCAACTAACAAAAATACAGAATACTAGAAGATTGGTATACAGATATAGCCAAGATAAAGATAGAGGAGAGAGAGAAAAAGAATCACGGATGCCCTCTACTATTTAGCAATGAGTTGGATGTATTAGCCAGGGCAGTTAGGCCAGGGAGAGCATCAAGAAGTATGAAAACTGAAAAGAGAAAAAAAAAAACCCTATTTTTAGTTACAGATAATAAGATTGTATATCATAATAAAAAGAAAAAAGGATCAGTGGGAACTACTATGAACAATCAAAGAACTTGATGAAGTTATAAGGTTACAACTTTAGCAGGTTATAAAATTAACAAAAATCTAACAGCTTTGACATATATGAAAACTAGAAAACAAAACAAAAACCCTACCAAGTATGAAAAAACAAAATCAAAAACCAACACTCTGGGCAAAAGTTTTATACTTACACATAACATATTAATATTTCTTTTCTCTTTTTTTTTAGAGAGAGAGAGAGAGAGAGAGAGAGAGAGAGAGAGAGAATATTTTAATATTTATTTTTTTTTAGTTTTCGGCAGACACAACATCTTTGTTTGTATGTGGTGGGAGGATCGAACCCGGGCCGCACGCATGCCAGGCGAGCGTGCTACCGCTTGAGCCACATCCCC